GTCAGAAGCTGTTCAGAATAAAGATGCAACAAAAGAGTTTTTCTCTAAATCCCCTTGAGAAGGAGCAAGCGGTATTCAAGTGTCAGGCTAGTGATTCAGAAATATGGCACAAAAGGTTGGGGCATTTTCATTACAAAGGCTTACTATTCATGCAGAAGAATGAAATGGCAACTGGGTTACCAATCCTGGAGGAGCAAATCACAAGGTGCAAAGCTTGTTTTTTGGGAAAACAGACAAGACTTCCTTTCAAAGAATCCACCTGGAGAGCTACAAAGAAGCTACAACTAATTCATACAGATCTTTGTGGTCCTCACGTGACTCATTCACTAAATGGCAGGAGGTATTTTCTTATCTTCATTGATGATTATACTAGAATGTGCTGGATTTATTTTATGAAGCAAAAGTCAGAAGTTGCTGAGATATTTCTGAAGTTTAAGAGATGGGTTGAGACTCAAAGTGGCTGCAAAATTCAAGTCATCAGATCTGATAATGGAACAGAATACACTTCACAAAGGTTTAACACTTTTTGTGAGGAAGCTGTAATTGAGCATCAACTTACTGTTCCTTATTCTCCACAGCAAAATGGAGTTAGTGAAAGAAAGAATAGAACCATTATGGAAATGACTAGGTGTCTGCTGCATGAGAAGAATCTACCAAAAGAATTTTGGGCAGAAGCAGCAAACACAACTGTTTTTTTGTTAAATAGACTGTCTACAAGGGTACTGGAAAAGAAGACACCTTTCGAAGCTTGGTTAGGTTTCAAGCCATTTCTAAAAAATTTGAAAGTGTTTGGTTGTCTGTGTTTTTCTCACATTCCATAGGTCAAGAGAGACAAGCTGGGAGAAAAAGCTGAATATGGAATTTTCATTGGCTATAGTCTGGTGTCAAAAGCCTACAAGATCTATCAACCACAGACAAAGAAGGTGATCAATAGCAGGGATGTTCAGTTCCTAGAAGATGAGCAATGGGACTGGACAGATGAGCCACAAGCAAAGCATAAGGAGGTCTCACTGGATTATGATGAGCTAGTAGATGATGATCCAATTAGAGGTACCAGATCTCTGACTGGTATATATCAGAGGTGTAGTGTGGCTGTTTTGGAACCTTCAAGTTATGAGGAAGCTAAAAGTGATCAGAGATGGATGAATGCTATGAAGGAAGAGTTGGCTATGATAGAAAAAAATCAGACATGTGAGCTAATAGAAAGACCTGAGGACAAGAAAGTGATTGGAGTAAAATGGGTTTTCAGGACCAAACTCAATCTTGATGGCTCAGTGAATAAGCATAAAGCCAGGTTAGTGGTGAAGGGATATGCACAGGTTTGGGGAGTTGATTTCTCAGAAACCTTTGCTCCGGTTGCAAGACTAGATACAATTAGAATGATTCTTGCCTTGGCAGCTCAACAAGGATGGAAAGTGTATCAGTTAGATGTGAAATCTGCTTTTTTGAATGGAGAGTTGCAAGAGGAGATTTATGTTGAGCAGCCAGAAGGCTTTGTCACACCAGATCAGGAGGAGAAGGTTTATTTGCTGAGAAAAGATCTCTATGGTTTGAAGCAAGCACCTAGAGCATGGTACAGCAAGATGGATGAGCACTTGCTGGGTTTGGGTTTCATAAAAAGTCTTAGTGAATCCACTTTATATGTCAAGAAGTTAGCATCTGACTTAGTGGTGGTGTCTCTTTACGTGGATGATATGCTGGTAACAGGGAGTAATAATTCTCATATTACTGCATTCAAAAGGGAAATGATGAAAACGTTTGAAATGACTGATCTTGGTGAGATGTCATATTTTTTGGGGATGGAGGTTAGACAAACTGAAAATGAAATTTTTATCTATCAAAAGAAGTACTTGAAGGAGATTCTGAAAAGATTCAACATGGAGGAGTGCAAGAGTGTAAGTACTCCAATGGGTCAAAAGGAAAAGTTTCAAAAGAAAGATGAATCGGAATCTGCAGATGAAAGAGTTTATAGGAGTTTAATTGGCTGCCTTATGTATCTCACTGCAACTAGGCCAAACATTATGTTTACAGTAAGTGTCTTGTCTAGGTTTCTTAATTGTCCAAGTGAACTGCATATGGTAGCTGCAAAAGGGTGTTAAGGTACTTGAAAGGTACTCTTTCATATGGAATCAAATTCTGCAGAATTCAGAAGTTTAAGTTGCAAGGGTATTCTGACAGTGACTGGGCTGGATCAGTGGATGATATGAAAAGTACTTCGGGTTATTTTTTTACACTTGGGTCAGCTTGTTTTTCTTGGTGTTCGAAGAAGCAGGAAATAGTGGCCCAATCAACTGCAGAAGCTGAGTTCATTGCAGCTACTGCAGCTGTAAACCAAGCATTATGGTTGAAGAAGCTGATGGATGACCTGCATTTGGAGCAAAAAGAAGGCATAGAAGTATTTGTGGATAATCAAGTTGCTCTAGCTATTTCACAGAATCCAGTATTTCATGGAAGAACAAAGCATTTTAAGATCAAGTATTATTTTTTGAGAGAAGTGCAGAAAGCTGGAGAAGTGAAACTAATGTACTGAAGTTCAGAAAATCAAATTGCAGATATATTTACCAAGTCATTTCATGTTAGTCGATTTGAATTTCTCAGAAAGAAGCTAGGAGTGTGCAGCACTTGATCCAGGAGGAGAATGTTGGTGTTTCAAGGCTGCTGTTGATGTCCTATTTTTTAGGAGTTAATTAGTTGTTTTTTTAAATTGATTAGTCTTTTGTTTAGGAGTTTGTTTATTGCCTTTTACTATTATTGCTTTGTTAGTTTGTTGCTGATTTTGTGGACCAACAAAATCAGCTGGTTAGTGGCAACCGTATGAGCTCAGTTTTATATTTAAAACAAGTTCATTAGTCAGAATAAAATAAGCTGTTGCACAATATTGTTTCTGATGTTTGTTTTTCTCATAAAAGATCAACAAAGATTTTATTCGTTTAAAATAAAAAATTCACCATTTAGGAAAAGTGAGGAGTACCAGTTCATTGACCATTCTAGTCTAATTTGATAGTGCAAATATGATGTTTCATTCTCTATATAAGATGGTAATCTTACTACACTCGAATACTCAGTTAGTAGCAGTTTAGAAGTAACATTGAAATGTGTACTTTTCTCATTTTATTATTGAAAAACGAAGTATAGTAAGAGCGATATAAAATTTATGGTGTGCAAATAATATTTCTGTGTATTGGATTATCCTTTGTATTCATGGTAGCAATAGCATAGTATGTCGGTCTTCTTCGGTCCTTTTATCATGGATACAACATGCTTTTATCATGTGCTCACTTTTCCATTATTTTGTAGGCAATAAAGACAGATTTAGTCAGAGAAACTAAACTTGATGCACAACTAAAGCTTGTAATTTCATGTGTCAAGTTGTTCCAGCTCTTGAAGTTTTATCTCCAAAAAAGCTTCAAGAGCTTGAACAACTTTAATGCACAATAAAAGCTCGATGAGATGAACTACAATTTGAAGCACAATTCTAAATGCTTGAAGAGCAGAAACTAGAACTTAAAGCACAATTACAAAAGCTTGAAGAACTGAAACACATTTTACATTTGCTATCATTCTTAACTTCATGCACACTCATGCCAATGAAGATACAAAGTCAAAATTCAATTGATAGTTGCAATTGTTAAAAGCGATTTGTATGGCTTTCAGGTGTTACTTAAATTCATTTGAGCCATAGCTCTGGGTTCGGAACTGTGAAACACGTATCCTCCTAAGTGAATAAACATGGTTTTTGAACACGGTTGTGGATTGATATACGAAACTCATTAATTCTTAAGCTCAACGAGAGGCAATCCAAAATATTAATCAAATATAATTATAGAAGGATACTCATCAAAAGCATTGAATGTTCAGAATCCACTACTCACATATAAACTCTATAAATAAGAGATAAAACCTACAAGTATGATATGCTCTCTCTTATTGTTATACTGTCTCTCTTATTGAACCAAAGTCGTTTATAGTTCTTCATAACACAGTAATCTGCTTGCTTGACTCAAGGGTATGTAACTCATAAATATTTGGGAGAGGACACCTAGATCCAATAGTAACATACTAGTCCATTGGACTAGATATCTTTTCTAAGACAGAACAAACATCATTTTTAATATCTCTGTACTTATCAATTTTTCTCCTTTTCACAAAATAAATTCTGATAGTTATATATAAACAAGGGGTTTTGGTTTCGTAACGTTGCAGTAATCATTTTTTTTTACCGCAAAGCAAAACGACAACATAAATAATAATAAATTTTTTGAAACAAACACTATATTCAATAATTTTTTTGTCTGTAGCTTTGCATTACAGGAAACTTTTTCAAATGATTGTTATTTATCCCATATAAACAAGTTAATGTGTTGATATGTAGATTTATTAAGTTCAAAGAATCCACTTAACAAAAAGATGAACGTGTCTCACACTAATATATTTCAAGAAAAAACAATATTTTTTTTTAAAAAATTAAGTGCTCTTTCGTATATTTTTTTAAAGAATATTTGAAAGGAATTGATGAAACGAACAAACTGTGATCTATCTTAAATTAGAAACTTTTTGTCTTATTTATTTTTCATTTCATAAAAGGAAAGAATGAAATTAAATGCCTGGACCCCACAACGGTAAGGACAAAACGACACATGCAATCAAAGCCCGTTTTATTGTCAGACACGGTGGGGCCAACGGCGTGGCGTTTCGTTTCGTCGTGGCATTGTTGCCCCCTTACACCTCCTATTAATCATTTATAATCATTTCTTATAAATGCTAATTATATCACATCAACACACTTTCCCTTACCTTTTCCATTAATTAATCACTTTAACTCTTTAATTCCACCCAAAAAAGGAAAAAAAAGAAAAGAAAAAAAAAGGGTTCGTTTTATTATCCAGTCACAGTCACAGTCACTAGACGCAGCACACATGGATGAAGATGAATGAATGAATGAACGAATGATGATGCACACTGCGCACCCTCACCCAATCGTCGTTGTTGTTCATGCCTGCTAGTTACTGAAACCAGCTTCAAAAACCGTTAATTTCAGCTTTTTCTTCATTGATTAATATTAATCGTGACTTTAATCAGTTACACTTGAAAAAAGTGCTAGATCTCGATCTCCGATGCCGATGCGGTGGTTGTTGTTATTGTTCTTGCTAATGTTGGTGCCAATGGCCTACGCAATGCCGGTTCGGCTCACTTTTTCTGCGAGGCTGGTTCATCGGTTCTCCGAAGAAATGAAGCCGGTTCGTGTTCCGACCGGTTCGTGGCCGGACCGGCGGAGCATGCGGTACTACCAGATGCTTCTAAGCAGCGACTTTCTCAGGCACAAGATCAACCTCGGAGGCGCTCGCCACCAGCTTCTGTTTCCATCTCATGGTAGCAAAACGATGTCGCTTGGCAACGACTTTGGCTGGTAACCCTAATTGATTCCTCTTTTTTGCTTCTTCGGATGAAAAACGACGTGGTTCTGAATCTGATTTGTGATTGTTTGTTGCTATGCATCTCTTTTGTGATTAGGTTGCATTACACGTGGATTGATATAGGGACACCGAATACTTCATTTCTTGTGGCGTTGGATGCAGGGAGCGATCTCCTTTGGGTTCCGTGTGATTGCGTACAGTGTGCTCCCTTGTCTGCAAGTTACTATTCCAATCTGGTACGGTTGATTTCCCGTTCTATGTAACTTGTGACCTTAATTTCTGATTAGATTTGTCTTATACTCAAATCTTAGCAGAGAGCTTAAAAAATAGGAAGAAGAAGAAATGATTTTTCCCTAGGGTGTGTTTGGTTGGGGGAAAATGTTGAGATAGATGGGTAAGTGAGAAGTGGGAATAGAAGGTAACCATGTTTGGTTGAGTCAACTTCCATACTTACCTACCTAAATCACTATCCTACCATTCTCCGTTGCATATCTATTTTCATCAATCTAGCCGGCGAAACTTTCCCTTTCATCATGTGGTATTGTTGAAAAGCAGCCTATTTGCTGACATTGTGGTTTAACCAAAAGACCAGCGTACCCTCTCTAAGCGCGCGAAAGGAAAATATCGGACCAAATCTATTTGCTTTCGTTGTTAGAGTTGTCACTGCTCAAAGACCAACACTTGCACAGAGGCACACGGAAAATGGTGTGGCTGGGATTTGTGGAATACAAAACAAAAAAAAAATAAGAAAAGAAAGATGGGGCTGTGGTTGGGGTTCGTTTGTGAAAGAAAAAGAAAATTTAAGAAGAGGAGGAAGGACGAAGGTGGTTCGGAGAGAAGAGATATGGGGTTGTGGTTTTGATGGTTGGTTGACGGTGTTACCGGTAGAGATGGTGGTTTGTTGATGGGTCTGTGGTGGCTGTGATTTTGGAGACTAGGGGAAGGGAAGGTGGTTATTGGCAGGCGGTGGGGTTTGTGGGTCTTCAAAAAAAAAAAATTTGGAAAGGGGAGGGGGGGGGGGGGGGGATGGTGGTTGCTATGAAGGAAGAAGAATATTTTTACAAGGTTATTTTGGTAAAAGCACATTTTTTCCCCATCTATATCTAACCAAAAGTCAAACATAGACTTTACAAAAGTTACCTAATTTCTCCGGTAAAATTTTTCCCAACCAAACAACTATTTTTATATTTTTCTACCAAACTCACTTCCCAACCATTTCTCTACTAATCACATTTCCCTATGATTCATAAAAATTTCTCTTCAACCAAACACCCCCTAAAAGTTAATCAAAACCAATCAATGACAATCCTGTCAAGCAAATTGCAAAACCTTGATCGGATAAGTTTTTCAATTCTGAGTGTAATGTAATGTAACACTTAAACCCTAACACAGTACACAGGACATGGACACCTTTCTAGGGAGAAAAACTTCAATGTTCGGTGGTCCCTTTTAATAAAAAGGGAAATTTTTTTGGACTAAAGGAAATATAAAAAAAAAAGTTTGACAGTCCCGGTATTGAAGTTTTTCTCCTTTCTAGGTGCATATGTTTGATTGAAATTTTAGATTCTAAGACTTGGCAACAGGTTTAGCACTTATTTCCAATAATTGATTGGCAGGTGCTCCCTCACATATGGGGCATCTATTATGCAGGATAGAGATCTCAATGAGTATAGTCCATCTCGTTCGATATCCAGTAAGCATCTATCTTGTAGCCCTCTGTTATGTGATCTGGGTTCGAATTGTAAAAGTTCCAAGCAGCAATGTCCATACAGAGTCAATTACTTATCTGAGAATACATCAAGTTCTGGATTGTTAGTTGAGGACATATTGCATCTTCAATCAGGTGATGGCGGGGGTGTGTCAAACTCTTCTGTTCAGGCTTCGGTTGTTATCGGGTGTGGCTAATTGATCCTGTCCTTGTCACTTCAACGTCACTTTGCCTGATGAGTGATTATGTTTCTTTTTTCGAACCTTTGGTATTTTTATCTGACGTCAATTTTGTTTAGTGCAGGTGTGGTATGAAGCAAAGCGGTGGTTATTTGGATGGGGTTGCTCCAGATGGTGTCATGGGTTTGGGACCTGGGGAGAGTTCAGTTCCAAGTGCTCTTGCTAAATCAGGATTAATCCCTGATTCTTTTTCCTTGTGCTTTGATGAAGATGATTCTGGTAGAATATTTTTTGGGGACCAGGGATCAAGTATCCAACAGTCAACTCCATTCTTGCCTTTGGATGGAATATAGTAGGAGATTCTGTACTTTAACTTAGTCTACAGTCTTTCAATGTGCTAAAATAGTTTAGAAAATGGTGTCATGCTAATTATGATAAATTTCTTGGTCAGTTCAACCTATATTATTGGTGTGGAGGCATGTTGTATTGGGAATTCTTGTCTTAAAATGACAAGTTTAAAAGCACAGGTTGATAGCGGAACATCATTTACATTTCTTCCCGGCCATGCATATGGAGCAATAGCTGAGGAGGTACCTTAGTTTGTTGAATTCCATGATTGTAAATTTCTTCTCGATCTTTTGATGTGATTTTATTGGTGACAGTTTGATCGACAAGTAAATGCTTCAAGATCTAGCTTTGACGAATCTCCTTGGGAGTATTGTTATGCATACAGGTGAGTTTATTTGATAGATCTATCTCTGCCTGTCTTTCTCCCCTCTACTCTTGTCTCTTTGGTGCTTGATTTCACAATTCCTAGAATTTTCTGGTCTTTCTGATAGCTTTAATTTATTAATTTATTATTTTTTGAAACAGTTCGCGTGAGTTGCCAAAGGTTCCCAGCTTAACACTAATGTTTCAACAGAATAACAGTTTTGTGGTCTATAATCCCGTGTTTGTATTCTATGACAATCAGGTAGGTGTGGATTAAGATATAAAAGATTCGATAACAACTTCCTAGACTGAAATTTTGACAAGATAATTAACTATAATGTAAGAGAGTTTATTAGAAAAATAGACTAATTATTTGAGGCCGGTCACTTAAGACAAAAAGAGACGAACTGTTTGAACTTTTATTTAGTATGTGGACACTGAAGAAGTATATTTTTCTCTAGTTCTTTCTACCTTACAAAAGCGAATGAAATTTGTATCAAACATATAATTTTATTTATACCAATTTTTTCTTTTCCTTTTTCTGCCATTCTGTCCCAACTTCCAACCTTTTCATTTTTATCTTACATCCATTCTCATTACTGGGCTACAATGCTACACAGGTCTGAACTGCTTGAATGTTTACCTCTTGTACTCATAGTTACACACTTACACCTCTATTACAAGCTGTGCTTGAGTTTCTTGAAAATTGAATTATAACAATTTTTGGTTATATTATTTTCCTAGTTGGTGAACCGACTTTCCTTTTTCAACAAATGCATAAAAGGTGGTGCAACAGCCTTTTGAAAACTTTTTCTAGTATAGATTACATTTTCTAGTGCTGCACTGCATCCATTCAACATATTAATAAAAAAAAATGTTCTCTACAAGAAAATTCTCAGTTTTCAGCAAAAACTATTATAAAAATAAGGGAAATGATAAAAAAAAAAATGCTTACTGATGTAGCTAAAATATGAAGACTGATCCTTTTTGTGCAGGGAATTATTGGATTTTGTTTAGCCATACAGCCAACCGAAGGAAATGTGGGAACCATTGGACGTAAGTATACTGATTGTCCCCTACTCCAGAGTATGGAAAAATGGATACTTTGATCTTAAAATTATTAAAATCTTTTGCAGAGAACTTCATGACAGGATACCGGTTGGTATTTGATAGGGAAAACAAGAAGCTAGCATGGTCACGCTCAAATTGTGAGTCATTTTACTTCTGAACGAAACATGTACTAGTCTTTTGAGTATATCCTCTTGTCATGTGCATCCAAAGATTAAGGCATGCGAATTACTTTGAATTTATGTGCTAATACATTTTAGCTTAAGTTCAAATCAAACCTCTCTGGCAATCTCCTTGTTTTTCTTTGCCATTTGCTGATGCCTGATGCTAAGGCTTTTTTCTAGCCTTCACTCTTCCCTCTGTTTATTCCTTTCACTTAAACACTGTCTACATGCATCATCTGTAGGTCAGGATCTTAGTCTAGGTAAGAGGATGCCCCTTTCCCATCCAAATGAGACATCATCAAACTCATTGCCTTCAGATGAGCAACAAAGAACCAACGGGCATGCGGTTGCTCCAGCTGTTGCTGGAAGAGCTCCCCACAAATCTTCGGCTACTTCATCTCGTATGATTTCATGCCGGCAACAGAGGCACTGTTATTTGTTTCTTCTACTTCTGCTTGTTTCAGCCTTTTACTGAGACCCTCGCATTCTCATGTATTTTAAGTTGCTTGTTTAGATAGCGTTACATGTATATCCAAATCCGCCTCCATTTTGTCCTCCTAGCTTTGTAAGTATTTTAGATCTTACACCATCTAATGCTGTTATTTTTTGACCTTGTCAACATTAGATTCCTACCACTCGTAATGGACCATTTTTTCTTTTATCCCCGCTCTTGGTCGGGTGAGGTTATGTAAATTAATTTACTTGTTATTCCAAATTTTCATTTGCTAACGTTAGACTGCTTTTTAATTTTTAATTTTTTCAATCAACCAATTTCTGTGTTACTTTGTTAATTTTATTTGATATTGTTGTGGACTATGTGAAATATCATGTGGAGTAAGACGACATTTTAATTATTTTTTACAATAAAATCTGAATCCAGGATATTTAAAGGGTATAAGATTTTTATATTTGATATAGAACGTAAATTCTTCTGATATATCATACTTGAATATCATGCTTAAATTAACAATACATAGGTTTCCAAATAAAATTATCAGTAACCAATAGACTCCTGTGATGTATCAAGTTTGCATTTGCTGCCTTGTAATTATGATCATTTAAATGCTTGAAATCATGTTTGAATCAATTGTTCCTGTTAAGAACCTTGGAGTTATGTATAAAAAAAACTTGAAATCATTGTCATTTTAGAACACAAAACATTACCAATTAATTAACCAGGGCTAATGGTCCTAGCTAGGAAAGCCCCATCACTAGGCTAATGTCAGTAGGACTTGATAGCGAATTTACGTAGACTTTATTCAACAGGTTTCGATTTTCTAGTACTGTAGGAGAAAATTTTATCATGTTGCATTTGTTGCCTTGTAATTATGATCATTTAAATGCTTGAAATCATGTTTGAATCAATTGTTCCTGTCAAGAACCTTGGAGTTATGTATAAAAAAAACTTGAAATCATTGTCATTTTAGAACACAAAACATTACCAATTAATTAACCAGGGCTAATGGTCCTAGCTAGGAAAGCCCCATCACTAGGCTAATGTCAGTAGGACTTGATAGCGAATTTACGTATACTTTATTCAACGGTTTTGATTTTTTCATACGGTAGGAGAAAATTTTCTCATGTTGTAGACACATCTTATGTGGAGTTCACATCTATTAAAAAAATAAAAAAGCAAAAGAAAATATTGCACGAAAATTGAAGGGTCGCTAGTAAGAAAAAATAACTCTCTTACAATATGAGAAAATATTTTCCCACAGTCACATTTAATAGGAAAAAATAACTCTCTTACAACATGAGAAAATATTTTCCCACAGTCACACCTAATATGTTATTATTATTTTCTTACGCACTTAACTCTGTTAAATATTGCATGCCACTATGCCTGTAAGCCAGCTTAATTAGACTTGTATTCATTATTTTTAGCCAACAACAAAAAAATTTATTGGACAACTGGTTCATAGAATAAAACAAATCCCTTGAACCAAATAATGCGTTGCACAATATGATGACCTGAAAGTAAGAAGGTTCCAGCTTACATGTATATGTTAGATATGTGATTTTAGCTTATGTTATTCCTACTACACCAATAATGTCGCTGTCCAGGTCTTCCTTTCTGACTTTCAAGGTAGCCAAGACGGATCATGAAATAATTTATGAATAAGATGCCGAAGATTTGAGTAAGATAGTAGGCATATATTAATATGGGTTTAAAATGTTATAAGAAATAATTTTATTTCCTGTATATATGTAAAAATTTGCGGGACTTAATTTTTTTTTTTTTTTACATGACCCCATATGAGTTTCATACATTTTTAATATATTTATAGGAGATAATTATATTTCCTGAAACATAAAAAATGTTAAACCCATATTAATATAATCAAATCTTCGGCATCTCATTCTTATTTTTTTTTTAAAGGATGAATGTGATCTGTCCCCAAGTTTTGTCTGATACACAATTTTTAAATGACATGGTGAATGAAAAAAAAAAAAAATCCTTGTAAGATCAAGCTCATTACATTCACATCTTACCATTTGAGTTAAATAATTTTATATATGACCCTTTTTCATGATACAAGTATCAATGTATGTCAGATACATATAAGTATGATTTCTTGAAAAGACAAAAAAATAAAAAAAAATAAAAATCATTAATCTCTAACGATTAGGAAATTATTTTCCTTCTGTTGAATTAAATTATGCATTGTGCTTGTTTATTATTTAAAACCAGGGAGAAACAAATGAAGAGAAATAGGTATTCTCGTTGAATAAAGCTGGAAAGTGGAAAGTGGAAAGTGGAAAGAAACCTCTTTCTAATGGAGATTGGTACTTTGAACCAAAGTACCAAACAACATTATGTCTCCTACCAAACCATATCTGTCTACACCAATTTCAAGGGGTCGATAAATTAAGGGTTTTATAAGAGTTATGTTGTAGGAAAAATGATTGTGTAATGTTATAGAGATTCGTTTTGCGTGTCTTAATTTTTTATTTATTTTTTTGTTTTAAAAAGTGTGGGCCCCACAAAATGTTGTGAGAGTAGGAAAATTTGTTGTATTATGTTAAAGGATAAAAGTAAAACCCATAAATTAATAGATGGGATTGTGTTTTCTTATGTCGTTGAAGAGTATCTCCTATAAAGACATTTTCAAATGGGTCTCACATTATAAAAAAAAAGAAAATTATTGGCTCAAATTTCGAAGAATTTATGGCATGAGGTAAGTTTTCTTCAACAACATAAGAAAATATTACCCTTAATAGATATGAGTGTATCTATGTAATATATTGGCATTGGTGCAATATATCAATGGTCGATCATTGGAATGGAAAGAAAATAAGGAGGTGTTTGGCACAAGATAATTTTTTTTTTAATGGGAAGAAAATATTACCGAAAAATATGTGGAAATTTTTTTTATCGGGTAAGTAACAAAAAAGTGTTTGATTGACCAAAATTTTCCTGCAATTATTTGATTAAGTTTTCCAAGTTGTTGCTTGATTGATTGTAAAATAATAGTAGGAATGTGGAGTTATTTTACAAAAATAACTCCACCTTTACCTTTTCATTCAAAAAGAGTTGTTCACATATGGTACAATCAAGAAGGTTATTTTGGTTCATTTTCTTGCACTTCATTTTTTACTTCCTCGGGCAACAACGTATCCCACACTATCGATGGACAACCTGAGTTGCATGCCGTATAGGATTTCCCACATAAAAACAAAAAATCTGATAATATTTTATCCGAGAAGCTAGCTATTTTTTTGGTGCCAAACACATATTTTCCTTTTTCCGAATGATGTTTTCCCTGGCACCCAAATAAAATCAGCGTACCAAACACACTCTAAAGACTAGGGGCTTTTGACCACTGTAGCCTTAATTTAATAATTAATTACTAATTCGCCCTTCAACATGGAGCGTTTCGACATTGTGCCACTTCTTGAAGAGACACATGTGCTTGCGGAGATGCGGTGCCCGTACTCAGATGTTATGGTGAGAGCATTCTACCAGAAACTCAACTATGTGCATGGCGAGCTGACTTCCCGTGTCTGCGAAATTGATATCATCATGACTGCTCCTATATGGACTGGTCTACTCGGATAACTTGTACTAGTGCACCCGGGTAGGCTGTACCCGGGTAGGCTGTACCCGGGTATCTCCATACCTACCCGGGTAGGCTTAGTACCCGGATATCCCCTTACCTATTCGGGTAAAAACTCAACGTATGTAAAAACATTTAAATTTTGCGAAATATACTCAGGTAAGGAAGGGATACTCGAGTAACTTGGTGATCAACAGTCAAACAAGGGTAAATTGATGTTATATTTTTTCAAAAGTTTAAATTTTTGCAATAGTTTATAAACAGGGTCAATTTAATAATTAATTGTTAATTAAGAGCTAGAGTAGTCAAAAAGCCAAAGACTAGGTCGTATGACCCTTTCCCCTCACATTTACGAGCTTTTCCTAAGACCCACTGTCACCGAAACAACTGTAGGAAATCTTAGATTTATGCGGAAGCGGTTTAGGACCTAGTACATTGGTATGCTTACCGAATCATCCTTGTTTCACAATTACCTCTCGGTGCGCAGATCTCGTGTAGAATCTTCCCTTGTAGGATTCCTCTTCACGAACAGCTCACCTCAGCACCGCAACACGAACAACTTCCTTGTAGCTGGACTGTGGCAGATCTTCCAAACTATCTCTCGAGGAGAAAAGGGAAGTGTGTGGGCACTGATTAGATTCTGAGCTTGCCTCTTTCTTACAAAAAAGACCTCGGAGGCTGATGACTTAAGAGATACTATTTATTTGGGTTCCAAGAAACCCTAGCTCATTGGGCTCTAGGTTCCTTGGGCTCTTCTCATACTAATAACTCATTTGGGCTTTAGTAAAAGAGCAAACCCAACAATCTCCCACTTGCTCTTTTGGATACAAACTTGAGTCGTAAAACCCAAGATCATGTAACCCATAAGTCATCATCTATCCAAAAAAATACCCCATCCCTTGTCTCGAGCTAGCTTGGGGATCTACCATCTGTTATTAATCAAGGCTCCTGATAATCAACGAATGATTATCTAATTCGGTGCTACTCCACTAAAAGCCCGAACTTGAACTCCAAGATTAACAACACTTATAACATGAATATGCATCGCCCCTTTGTAGAATGTCTATAATTGATTGACAAGGTTTATGTAACTCAATCAATTATTTATTCCCTTGACTATGATAGTTTCTCTGATGGATTACATGTACTGGCCAGTGTCTTTAATATCCAAGTACCGAAACATATCAAGGGGACATATCCTACAAATTCCATGTTGTTTATCTCATAAATATCGATAATCAAATAATCTCACTCCCAAAATACCGAGTTATTGGTCGTCAATAGATCGAACCTCACCCGTTGGTAAATCAAAGAATGAAAACTATTAGATTACCTATTTATAATAAACTCAGGATTAAGAGCAATCACATAACTATAGTTAACTGGAGATTTGATACCTTATGACAGAAAAACAACCTTAATCAAATCTCTCCTTGATCCTTTCAATGTGAATGTTAATTCACACCAATATTTTACAATGATTCAGACAAAATCATTTCATAAAATATTGCAGCCTGAATAAAGTGCCCAACTTTATTTAACGGCTGTGACTCCATTCATCAATTGTGAGATCCTATGATCATGTCCTCCATGAACGTATCCA